TCCCCCCCCCCCCCTGTCGTTCTGCCCCCCCCCCCCTCCTCCAGGAGCCCGTGCTGGATCCACCTATGCCTTAACGACACTGATATTAGCCGAGTTGGAATTCCTATCTTTTTTTGAACAAAAAAAAATTTTTTTTTTCAGACTGCAGTACTTTTCGATAGCCGATACAGGACAGTTTATGTGTTGAGGAATATGAGTATGCATGAGAGTGTCTTCGATATGGAATGTGTAACGTTCTACATGCAACTTATGCCCGATGGACGTTTAATTTTCCATCAACTGAATGTTTTCCGTGATGTCCATCCCAGTAATATTGGACGTATGTTGTGGACTGAAGATCCTTATCATCGCAAGGTTCGTTTCACTTCTTTTTCTCCATCAGTAGTACCTGTTTTGGTAACTTTTTCAGCTGTTTTTTTCGATCTTTGGTACCAAACGTCTAATAAATTTGTGCGCCTAGCTTTAAATGTCGTTTCAGGCATAGCGAAGACAGTGAGGAAAAATGCCCATATTGAGTATTTATAAAATTTTTTTTTAATATTTTTATAGGAGTTGTACTATAAGTTATGGGCAGGGAGGGGAATAAAATGGATGGGGGCATCGTAGCCTGGAAATGGCAGATATATATTTTTTTTTAATTTAATTTAAAGTTTTTAATTTAAAGTTCATTTTTAAATCTTCCTTCTGTGAACTGATTGCTTATTTAGTTCTACTATGCACAAAAGGAGAAAAACAAAAAGATGACGATTTATTCGGTACCGTTCGGTGATATTCTGGAAACTTTATTAGATGGAAAACCGGGCGCACCAGTGCAATCTTTCCATGGCGATGATTTCCGGTACTTGAGCGTTTCACGTGGTGTTGCTATTGTTTATGCGTTCGAAGCTGGAAATGCGAAACAGTTTATCTAGTAATTTTTATGCGTTTTTTGCAGCTATGCAATGCAAAAACGCGTATTGACGAGGGTTTGACTGTGTGTCCTGTATGTGCGTCTGTCCCGATTTTTCATCTCAAGACCTATAAAAGCTGCAGGGCTGAAACTTTAGGAGCTTAATCTACATACACGTACGAGCCCCAGTCCCCAAAATGGGCGCCATTGCCCGCGTGGTACCCATGCAAGAGCCCGCCAAAGTTTTTTACGGGTAAGTTGCTAACTCAGGAGCCAAGAAAGCCAGAAAGCTGAATTTTTAAGGGGATTTTTCCTAACAGTTTTGGCGGCCAATCTTAATTTGTTTAGCTAGAAGCATTTGGCGAAAAAACCTGTGCCGGTAGCGACAAAAACTGCGGAGAGCTATGCAAAAAACGCATCTTCACGCGGGTAGCCCGTGCGTTGGCCAATTATTTTTTTTTATTTACGAAAAGATTTTAAAATGCTAAAAACACCAGACCCCCTCGAGCAGTCGGTGTGGATATCCCATGTTAGTGAAGCTACTAGGATGCTCCCACACACGAGGCGCAGCTGTGCCAGGCCTATCGATCCTTAGATGCATACTCCTGGGAAATACCAACCGCTAATTTTGATATAAATTAGCTGATAAGCTAATAAATTAGCTTATTTCTTGGAAAAAAAAAACACAAAACCCTGTTCATATTTCATTTTCTGTGAATAATGGAAGATTTTACAAGTAGCAAATTTCATAGCAATTGGTCAACAGCTGGCAATATTGTCGATGGTTTCCTGAGAGCCGGAACGATTGGATTTTTTGCAAGTTAGCTGCGAAAAAGCCAATTTACCGTGGGAACGCTAGGTTTTTTCTGGATATTGCTTTTCGTAGAAATTCGCGAAAAGACGGCCAAGAAAAACCCGCCACAAATCCCCCTATTGCTTAGGGAAAGCAGCCAAAAAAAAAGGCTTATGCTGCTCTAGAAGCGGATATACATGGAAGAAGCGCTTCCACGCTGTTTTAGATGCACAAGTGACCGGTGGTGCAGTGGTTTAACATGTCGCGTTCGGATGTGAAGACGGATAATTTGATTTTCTTCCTGGTCCATACTTATTTGCAAAAGGGGACCCTATCTTCAATATTTTTTTTTTTTGTTTTTTGCATATTTTTATTATGAAAAAAAAAATTTCTTTCACGAAAATGTAATTTATTGGATTGGGATGACCTTTTGTAAGCCAACTGAGGAATTTATTGGGGAATGCTTTAAGATGTAGAACTACAGGAAGATGACTTAGAAAAGGGTCTTGCGTGGGGGTAAATTTATCGATTTTCAAATTTGTAAGCAAAAATTTTGTTGAATTTCGAAAATTCCATAGAAAATATCATCTCGAAATTTCGAAGTTTCCAAGCTTTTTTTTTCAGCAACCTCTATGGATCATTGATGACCGTTGTGTGCAATGGTACAAATCCGGATATCCAGCAATTTGATCAATCCAATTCGTTGCGTCTGTTGTTCGACGATGATTTTTGCGCTCTGCAGAACGCCAACGGTGGCAAATGTACAGTGCGGGGGATGCGAATTGTTGAAGAAGTGATTAAGGTTATTTCAGTCATTTACAGCTTATCAGTCGTTGTTCATATTGTTAGTGATCAATTGTTGTTGCTGCCTCGATCATCGGCCCAAAGGGTTTCCCGTAACACTCCCGCGCGGAATTTCCGCCAAAGTTGAGCAATTACGCGTCCGGTACGACTTAGCCGCACCGTTCGCCATCGTCGATCACAAGAATGATGCAGTATTTCATCATTTATCGT